TACTACTTAATACTTATGGCCTATGCAGGATTGAATTAAATAATTTGAGTGCCATCTAGGTAGGTATATACCTATATTAGGTAGAAACTAGAAACCTTTATTTATATTACGATTTTAAAGTACCTATAGTTTCATCTTGAGTGTTCTTGCAATTTACATGTACGATGTGCCTATACCTAAACGTTTTCAATTTTAATAAACCAATTTACTGTACCTACAAAATTGTATGGGTTATTTTTGGATTACCTATTTAAAAAATATTAATTCTTTTGTGAATCATCGAAATAGATTAAATAATTGATTTTATTGTCTAAGTGTTTATCAGGAAATAACAATAAGGTACCTATTTAAAATACTTGTGTATCAATAAGCCTATAAACTTAATAATTATCTTCAATCTTGTTATATATTTTTCGTTAAAGTTTAACGGTGAGTCGGTGAACGACTTTAAGTTTTAGTAGGTACATTTAACTTATAAGTTATAACCTATAATCTATATGTATAGTATGAGTATAATAGTATTGCAGGTATTATAATAATAACTAATAAGGTTTCATTTGGTAATAAAATATTATGCAGATAAGTATTAAGTAAACAACCCTGTAGTCTGTAGATAAATTATATAAACCTATTACAGGTACACCGTAGTCCGTAGACATTGATATATTAAGATTAAAATTATTATTGTTTACATAATATTATCATACAATATATTATTTCCAGTTGACACCACTGAACTATATAATAACTATGTCTATACATATAGTTCAGTGGTTGACACTGGCAATTATTGACATGATTATTATAAAATATGTTGTTTAGATAGATCGATTAAATTTGATTTCACTATATTATGTTGTAATTTTGTATAAATAATAAATATATAACAGTATAACACAATAGCTTTATATACTATAGCATATTGCAATAAACAGTCATGTTTTATAAATATTTCATACTATGTTTATAAATTTAGTTTTTGAACGTCTATTCTTCCATGTTTGGTGTTATAGGATTACACTAAATATTTATATTACGAAACAAGAATTAATAGTATATACTGCAACGTTAAATATTGATTTGATATTTAACATTTAAGTAATAGTTTGTAATATATAATATACAATTTATTTAATGTAACAATTTGATTTCAAATTATTTAATAATAATCATTGGATTAACAATAAAATTAACAAAATAAAAAATGTAATTTTTGTTGTATTATACTAATTAGTTAAAAAAATGATATAATTTTAAACTAAAAACCAAGGTATTAAGAATTAAGATTAACTAATAATGATATTTGTATTTATATATACCTAGCCATACAGGAATAAACAAAAGAATATTTCAGCTTTGTAGTAAAAAAAAAAATAATAATAATAATTTGAATGTGGAAAAAAATATACCCTAGGTACGAATTATAAGAAATTCTGGCCAAAATATTGTATCATTAACAAATAAAACAACACATTTTCTACAAAAAACAGAACTACTTCTGTAGGTACCTACTAGGTATATAAACTAATTTAGGTACCAAGAAAAAAAATAATGTAAATCTTTGTAAAATACTTAATAAGAGTATAAGATATCATAAATACTGTTATTACTAATTGTTATTATATAGGTAACTATTTTGATTCAATAATAAAAAAATAAATTAATGATTAGGTGATCGTTGAAGTTCTGATCAAAACAGTCAACACCATTTGAATCACTGCAGGAATCACTATATTACATTGTTAGTTGTTACCTATAAATATATATTGATTATATTACAAACTGAAAATCTGACTTTAGTCACTGCAGGGCCGGCGGTACAAATTGTGTGGCCCTGTGCAAAATTGTTTGGATAAAATAATATTTTTTGAATTATACCTACATAAATAAATTTAAATAATACATTTATGAAGAGTTTAAAACTAAGATTACACTGTAGATATTATATTATGTGTTATGTTTTAAATGCTGCACTTAGACATTTTCAAAGGCACAATTTGTAAATTTCTGATCTATAGAGTGACTGAACGTAACTTTTAGACAAAGTTTAATAGCCAAAAAATAGTGTCTATAGACAAAAAATAAACATCATTGTAAATCGAATAGTTCCGATCCTTCGTTTCACTCAGAAATCAGAATCTAAAAATAAAGAAATAAATTTACGAGTGGCTTTGTTAAATACTTGGTCTTAGGTGTCTTAGTGTCTAGGTGTAGGTTAAGCGAGTACCCTATATAAGGTTATTAATTTATTACATTGAAATGGACTGAAACTTGGATCTGAAACTTAATTAAGCTTACTCCGCACGCCTATGGTTTCATATCATTTTAGTTTTAGACCGTTTAAGTAATTCAGTACCTAATTACGATTTTCGTTGTTTATCCTCTTCATTCAATGTATTGTAAACACTAAATATTGTTAAAATGTTTGAGATTTTTTTTAATTTTTGTTTATGTATACAAAAATTAAAATTACATTTTAAATAAAAGTTAGATTACACATATAACCCTACGGTTGTCACAGAATAAATTATTATTCCAACTGTAGTTTGAAAAATATTATCTTTTCTAAAATTATAATATTTTATTAGTGATGATTTGCTTCTCTGGAGTAGTGGAGTGAGCTCAGCTTCCGCAGGACCCTATACTTGTGCGGGGCCCTGTGCAGGGGCACCGCTTGCACCGGCTCTGTTGGTCAGGAAGAAATTAACAAACTTAGAATACGGAAGAACTGTGGGAAGAAGAAGACATTATACAAACACTTAAAGGCAGGAAAATGAGCTGACAGCCTGACTTGGACATGTATGGAGGTCGAATAGCATAATGAAGGATGCGCTTAGCTGGAAACCAGGAGGAAAAAGACCATTGGGCAGACCGAAGGTGGATAGACGAGCCCAACGAGAATTTCAGGATACTTAGGGTTGGTAACCCGGAAGAATTAGCAAATGATAGAGAGGAATAGAGGATGCTGTATGGAGCATTGATGGACCCTAATGGCTTGTAGAAGCTGGAGAAGAAGAAAAATACGACAGCACAGTTCCATATGTTATATAATATGTTATTCATAATCTTGATATATGTTGTCATGTTGCTATTGTAATATTATGTTATACGCAGGGTAGGGTGTCAGGCGTCAGCACTGCATTAGTAATAAGAGGGTGACCAGTGGTGACGACGGGCAGTCAGTCAGTGCTGTGCGATAGTGCCCATGAGAGTGGTTCAGTGTCGGATGCTGACACTTGTGCCCTTGCGTATGGTTAACCGAACCTGAGTCATGAAGTGTTTGTATATTAAAGTTATTTCATGTTACAATAAAGTGAATCTTGTATAGTTTTAATCAATGAGTTGCAAATTTTATGAGTATATTGCTAACAATTCAGAAGTGGGATTTATTGCTACCTAACGGGGAAAGTGCGACCTCGTACATAGCAAACGCTGAAAACGGTTGCGGTACCGTCGTGAGTGCGATTCGTTAACGCGTTAACTCTTGTGTGTAAGTTTCGTTCGTTTTGAATTATTTTCTTTATTGTAAGAAGAACGTGGTTTGTGCGACATTTTTTTTTAAGTTCGAACATAAACTCAAATATTTTAACGATAACCATAGTCGTGATCGTTGTGTACCTTGGTAACCGCGGTTCCCGTTATCTCTTATCACCGTATCATAGTGGAGGTAAACAAACAAAAGATATGGGAAATGAAACCGGTGCAAATCCAAACAGTTCGCCTGTACAGGGTGATATGGCTGACTCGCAATGCTCGAACAGAACAGACTGCGTGAGCAGCAGATGGAGCAAATAATAACCAAATTAATGGACAACCAGAAAACGACGACACCGATGATGCTACCTAATCTGACGAAAACGATCCCAATGTTTAATGGCGAAACAGGTGATACTGATGCGGCTACGAAGTGGTTGAATTCGTTGAAAACGGCTGCGCAGTTAAACGGTTGGCCTGATGAGAGTACGTTGGAAGCGGGACGCTCTTATTTAGAGGGAGCAGCGAGGAACTGGTATCTCAGTCACATGGTTGAACTTAACACTTTTGCTAAATTCTCTAAATCGTTCGAAGCTATGTTTATGGCACCAGAAGAAGTAACAGAAACATGGAAGAGAATGTACGAGCGTGTTCAACAAAAGAATGAAACGGTCTTCGCTTATTTCCACGACAAAGTGCGGATGTGTCGCCGGTTGAAATTATCCATGAGTGAAACCAAGAAAATGATTTGCGTCGGGTTACATTCTCGAGATATGTCAAGTGCATTAATGAGTAATGGACATGTACTTGAATAAGAGTTGATGGCTGATATTCGTGAATACAACGAAGTGAGTTTAATTCGTGGTGAACGTTTCCGTAATACGTCGACACCGGGTAGACAAGTACTCGCCGCGAAAAGTACAAGTGTACCGAAGGTCGGTACGGATAAACAGAATACAATTACGAGTAGTCCAATTAAGAAAGAGTTTCGTAAAACTTATGATGGGCCTCGTTGTTACAATTGTCAACTGACCGGACATGTTGCAAGGGATTGTACGCAACCACGACGACCACTTAAATGCACTAAGTGTAAATTGGAGGGACATACATCTAAATATTGTGAAGTAGCCAATACGCCGGATGTGAGTTTAGTGAGATGTCAAACTAAAAGTAAATTCATGTATTACATGAAAGAAGTGCGTATCAACGACAACAAGAAAACCGTCCGAGGTCTAGTCGATATCGGTATTGCTTTTACTATTATAACAAAGACTATTGCAAAATCCTATGGTCTGGAGGTGCGACCAACAACAGTAAACATGTACGTCTACGGAAATGCTCAATCAATAGCAAGTTATGGTGAAACACAAGCGACCATACATGTTGATGAAGTGAGTGAGCTCATCACATTGGTGGTAGTTGACGACCAAATCCAACAATACGACATGATAATTGGGCGTTCCTTTACAGACTGCGAAAATGTCACATTTATCAAAACAACGGATCAATAACAGTTTGCCTACGGTATGATGATGCCGTATCAGGAAGGAGGTGTCCCATATGAGTCGACTAGTAAACAAATAGTGCGAGTGGTTGGCGAAAATGAAAACATACCGGCTAAAAGTATGAAAATGATAAAGGTAAATGCAGGTGACCATGATGTAGAGGTAATGCTCATCAACGAAGAAGATACTGCGATAAGGCTGAACAGGGATCAATCGGTAGGAGTTATCCGAGGTGGCCGGAAGTCTACTGAAAACAACCACGATGTAAAGACACCCATAACTGCGGAGATGGTTAAGTATGGTTCGACACTTTCCAGTGACGAAGTAGACAGATTAGTGCAATTATTAAATCAATACCGTGAGTGTTTCGCATTTAATTTAAATGAGCTCGGGTGTACCGATGTTCTTGCGATGGATATTGTGGATGATGGAAAACCAGTGATGAGCAACCATACCGAGCCAGCGCATCTGAACGAGAAACAATCAGTCGCATAGTACAGGAGTGGAAGGAGGCGGGCATTGTCACTGAAACAAAATCAGCTTATGCATCACCAGTACTGTTAGTTACAAAAAAAGATGGCGACGCAAGACTTATGGTTGACTATAGAAAGTTGAATGCTCAAACGGTGGGAAAAGTCTTCCCTACTCCTAACCTGGATGAACACCTGGAAACTCTACATGGAGCAACGTTGTTTACAACTCTTGATCTTGCCTCCGGTTACCTACAGGTGCCTCTAACTGAAACGTCTAGAGAGAAAACTGCGTTTATCACACCTAGTGAGTCGGGGCAATTCAAACGAATGGTTTTTGGGCTCATCAACGTACTCTATGAATTTTCGAGGTTGGTGCAACGAATATTACAACCATTGAAAAACAAAGTCGCTATGTGGTACTTGGACGATATTCTGGTACCATCAACATCGTTCCAGGACTTGATAAATCGGCCGAGTCAAGTATTCGATGCGCTTAGAGAAGAGAAGTTGACTCTCAAGTTGAGTAAATATCATTTTGGATACACTGAAGTAGCATATCTAGGATTTATGTTTTCAGCAGCTGGAGTGAGACCTGGTGATCAAAAGGCCATAGCCATACAACAATATCAAAAACCTAAAAACAAACATGTAGTGAAACGATTCCTCGGTTTAAGTGGGTTTTTCAGAAGGTTCATTCCACGTTATGCGGAGATAGCCCGACCAATCAGCGACTTACTTCGGGATAATGAGCAATTCGTGTGGGCAGTGTCTCAGGAGGAAGCGTACAACAATCTGAAGGACAGGTTGGTCAGTAAACCAGTGCTCCAAGTCTTCAACCCTAATGCGGATACTGAACTACACTGTGACGCTAGCAGTGTGGGTCTGAGTGGCATGTTGCTTCAACGAGGTGAAGATAAGAGGTTACACTTGGTGCATGCTGTATCAAAAAAGACTACCTCAGCTGAACGACATTACCACTCGAGCAAGCAGGAGCTAATGGCAGTGGTCTGGAGTATGTGTAGATTGCGACCATATTTAATTGGGATTAAGTTTTTAGTTGTTACAGATTGTCAGGCAATTGTACATCTTAATACCCAAAAGACTCTAAACCCCCCAAGTAGCGCGTTGGGCAACGCTTCTAAGTGAGTATAATTTTGATATAAAACATCGACCAGGCAGTAGGATGGATCATATTGATGCCTTGAGTCGTGCGCCGACAAGCATGTCACAGAACACTGAAACTGAATTATTAGACGAGCACATGGAAGTGTTTATTGCTATGACCGAGGAGGATCAGGTGATAGCAATGCAGCAGGCAGATGTGAAACTTAAAGATTGATGAGTATCCTTAGTCAAGAAGAATCAAAACATACAACAACCGAAGCTGAAAGAGTGAAAGATTACCAACTTCACCATGGTATGTTATATAGGAAGGTGACGGTGGACGACAACGAAACAAGGTTATTATGGGTAGTACCTGAGTCAATGCGAAATAGTATAGTGGTAAGGTTCCATGACTTGGCGGGTCATTTCGCAGTGGACCGGACAGTCAGTAAGATAAAAGAAAAGTACTACTCCCCAATGATGCGCAGATACGTGAAGATGCACATTAATTGTTGTCCTGAGCGCATACTAATTAAAACCCCCCGAGGAAGACAGCCCGGTGAGCTTCACCCCATTACCCCTGGTAAACGACCGTTTGAGGTGATCAACATTGATCACATTGGTCTATTTGTGAAGTCAACAAAAGGTAACAGTCATATTATAGTGTTGATTGACAATTTAACCAAATATGTTAAGCTATATCCAGTGAAGAGCTGTGGCACATAGGGGGTGGTGACTAACTTACAGTTATTTGTAAAGTCATTTGGGACGCCAAGGTGAATTATCAGCGACCGAAGGACGGCCTTCACGTCTAAGGCATTCGAAGCATTCTGTGTACAATATGGTATTCGCCATACGTTGAACTCGGTAAGACATCCACAATCCAACGGACAGGTGGAACGTGTCAACAGCACCCTAGTTCCGGTAATGCAGTCAACTATGGAGTCAGATCGGACCTGGGATAAACGCATATCTGACATCGAGTGCCATTTGAATAATGCTTATAACAAAACAATAGGTGATACACCTTTTCAGGTGTTATATGGATATTATCCAAGTTTTAGGGACGGAGTGTTGCAGCATGTGACTACAAACGAGGTATGGGACTCTGCAGTAGAGATTCAAAACAAAATCCGAGAACGCATATCTAGAAAACATCAGCAATGGAAGCAACGGTACGATTCTAAGCATGTCAAGCCAACAGGTTATGAGGTTGGAGAAGTGGTGTTCATATGCAGACCACCAGAAGCCACAGGGGAGTCAACAAAATTGCAGTTCAAATACCGTGGCCCACTGGTAGTGACTGAGGTATTACGTAATGATGTGTATCGAGTGGCAGGGCTACGTGTCGCGGCGGGAAAACGTTATGTGACTGTCGTTCACGTTTCACATATTAAGGGATATCATCTACCAGCAAATGAGGAACCAAACGAAGACTCAACAATAATGGGGCATGATGAAGAAGACATGAAGCATGATGAAGAAGACAGACCACGAGATTTACCCAATACCGAAAAGATAGAATCAAGGCAGTCAGAAGTAAAAGACAAACAATCCAAACGTGTAAAGAAAACACCAGCTTGGCATTCATCATAATAAATAAATATGAACTGTTTTAAAATGTTACTATGTGATATGTGCGATATAAGCACTAACTAATTCTTGTGATAAAATGTAAACTGTTAGGTATAATTAAATATTAAGGATATAATTAAAATGTAAAGTGTTCACTTAAGCGAGGACACTTAAGGGTCAGGACGCCCGAATGTTATATATGTTATTCATAATCTTGATACATGTTGTCATGTTGCTATTGTAATATTATGTTATACGCAGGGTAGGGTGTCATCACTGCATTAGTAATAAGAGGGTGACCAGTGGTGTGCGATAGTGCCCATGAGAGTGGTTCAGTGTCGGATGCTGACACTTGTGCCCTTGCGTATGGTTAACCGAACCTGAGTCATGAAGTGTTTGTATAGTAAAGTTATTTCATGTTACAATAAAGTGAATCTTGTATAGTTTTAATCAATGAGTTGCAAATTTTATGAGTATATTCCTAACATATATCAGTGAATCTCAAATCTCGATATCACCAGTTCAATTATAGTGCTTATACGTCCTCCGGCAATTTACGGGCAAATTGTCATCGGCGGATGATTAATTCGACCGAGATCGGCAATCCGTATTAATACTTTAATAGAATAATATTATAGAGTATACTTAGTCATATAGGTAGACAGGCCGTCTTCTCGCTCAGAAACGTTATTCGTTTACAGTGATTTTATATAAATTAATTCAAGTTTAACACATCCATTACAGTGACCCACTCGACATAATCTACTGTACAGCAGAGCAGTACCAACTTGTCACCTTTCTTTTTTTTAGTAATGATTCGCCTTTGGGGAATTTATTTGTATAAACCTCATCAAACCACTAAAAATCTAACAATAAACAATAATACCATTTAATACAAAATATCAACAATAATATTAATCACAATTTTAAAAAACGCGGCACATTTTGAATGTCGTCCCCTTTGTCGAGAATCATTCCTCCAAGTTTGTATAACAACAATAGATAAACACACGCTTTGACAAACATGATAACAGCAAGCAACTATTCAAAGAGTTTCATTAATAATTAGTTTGTTTTGGTTGTCTGTCTTGGTTAAGTCTGAAGTCATAATATATATAATATATTAATATATTTTTTCGGCATATTTAAAAGAATATTAATTCTAGTGTTTATTAAAAAGTTATTAATTTTGATTTCAATGTATTCAATTTGTGTGCCATTCTGACTTATTTCTAAAAACTAAAAGGTACCTATATATAGTATTTATCACAATAAATTATATTTGTACTTCTCAAAAAGGCATTCCTATTTACTTGTTTTGTGAAGTATATTGTCAATATTATCATGACTACTCTGCTGGATCGTTTGCAAGAACACTTGGTAAAGAAACGACAGGGGTTGAATGATGTTCATGAAACTTTAAAAAAAATTACTGGCCGTGATACGTTTGATGATCATTTAAACCATGGTAAATTCAACAAACGACCACAGGTAGGTGGAGACCAAAAACCACAATTCAGAGAGTCATTAAAGAAAGATGTCAAGCGATTGCGAGATAATAATCTTTCCTTTAGAAATGATAATCAGAATCGTAAGGTTTTTGTCAACCCTAATGAATCATCAAAAATTTTTAAAAATGGAAATAATTCGGGTAGGATATCAGCTAAGGATCGTTTAGGGACAATTGTTGCAGATGATAATCAGAAACCTATAAAAGAAGAATATGAAGATGATGAAGATATGGACGAAGATCCTACGCCCAAAAAAACCCTTCAATCGCAAGTTATGTTGTCATCTAAAATTATGAAATCTCGCACTGAAGTATTGGCTGCTCAACAAGGTGATCAAGTGACTAAAGAACGAAACCGACGTATGTTTGGGTCATTATTAGGTACTCTACAAAAGTTTAAGAAAGAAGAAACTCAATTAAAAGATAAAGAAGAAAAAAAAGCTAAAATTGAAAGAAGATTAGATGAAGAAGCATTGAAAGAGAAAGAATCATTAGTTCTACGGAAGCGAGAATTATTTATGCAAAGAAAACAGCAACAAAGGGACATAAAAAATATAGAGATTAAAATGGGATTGGTAAGAAATTTTGAAATATTTGAACGCCAAATAAATTGCACAATGAATTTTATTAAAACTGAATTTGATCCTTCGGTGTTTTACTTGCCTAAAATACATAATGAAAAGACTGAAAAAAAATTAGAGAAGACGCGTTCATATTTGAGCAATATCTTAGGGAAGAAAAGGAATATGGTTGAAAGTCAAATTGAGAAGTTGCTACAACCTGATGACGAACAAATGGAGTTTGATGACAGAGTGGAAGATGGCGAAGTAAGAGCAGCTGATGAAGAAGAAGATGCTGATGTGGATGTGTACGAAAGGCATCAAGATAATGGAACTTTTAACTATGATTAAACCCAATTAATGACAAGTATAATGAACTCAATATTTTGTATATTTATTGTAAATATTGTTTTATCACCTTCAACATTGTTTTAAATAATTAATACAAACTTTGGTTGAGCTCATTTATTTGTAGACTAAACCTTTTTTTAAATACATTTATTTTGGTATTTGAAGATTTTATAAAAACTTGGAGATTACATGCCATTTTAGTTTTGTGTTTAAAATTATTATTATATAATTTATGATAAGTGTTAGTTAGTCATTCATTGAGTTTGTCTTAATACATGTACCTTAATTTAAACTTCATAATTTCTGTATTAAATTAAATTTATTTATAATATTCAATTAAATTGTTACTCCTGCAATCTACGACCTTTTAACTACATTTTATTATTTTAGGTATATACTTAAAAGTAGATTTAAACGCTTGTTGTTCAAACCAGTCTATTAAAAAAACATTTTGATTTTTAAACAATAAAAAAAAATTATCTAAATGTTACTACAACAAATGTTATTAAAATGCATTATTTTTATAAACAAATAATATAGATTATTCATAATTGTTCTATATTAATTAAATAATTAAATAATCACTGTCCACTATTTAAGTGATTAACATATTATATTATTAATACTAAATTGCATTGATGTGTTATTGCCTATTGGTGGTCTCCTATAACAAACAATACTAATTTTTGATGAGTTGTTGGAGGGTTTGTTGAAATATTTGAAAGAAATGCACCACATTTAAACAATTTTTATGAACGCCTATCCACTTGATTCATAACATCAAAATAATATGTTACCAATTGAAACTGTTTATGAACTATTGAATAGGTGGGTTTATAATTTTTAATACACCAGTAATACACCAATTATACTATTAAATTATATTAAGTTAGGTATTCTTATGTCTTGGGTTCTATATAAATTATAAGCATTGAAAAAAATTTGATCACCTTTAACTAATACAATTACTGATGAGTTCTTATTAAAAACAATGCATATTCCATTAAAATCCTAGTCCTGAATCCTGATTACTACTAACTGATGCTTTCAATATGAAGGCATATTTTGTAAATAATGCTTAGAAACATAATACCTACATTATTTACCTATATATACAGCAATACATCCTAATAACAGAATCGGTCAGTAGGTACTAACTGATTTGTCCATTATAGGGAGACTAAAATATTCAGGGTTTAGGTTGTATATTAACCATTAGCCAAATAATACACATATATATTTACATGAGTATAGCGTATAATAAAATAAAATAACAGTTCCAATTATTACTAAATGGTGTTATTTAGTTAAAATCCTAAATAACTAAATCAGTGACTGTGCATATCGTTTTAAGTTGACGATAATAACTTGGTTTTAATTTTGAGGAGGCTTGTTCTGGAGATGAACCTAATTATTGTAATATGTTAAAATATTAAATAATGCTTTATAATGTAAACTTAGTGCAGTACATATTATAACTTGGATAATATTTTGTAATTTAATTTTTCTTAATTCCGTAAACCATTATTGATAAAATATACGACTATTGCAACTTGACAATGGATATCCACAGACAATATCTTACAAAAAAAAAAAATAATAATTCTTAATTAGTCCAACATTAACATAACTTACACCTTAATTATTCGTCCTGTGTAGGTACCTACTATAAGTTGTCGTTTAATTTATTTATTATAATTACGTAGGTAGTAGGTAGTCATTGGTGGAGCTTGGGGGGAACCTCCCTCTTTCCAAGTTTTAGATTTCCCCCCCCCCCCAAAAAAAAAAAATTTATACCGAAGTTATGTACCTTCAGTTTTAATAGTTTTATATCATTATTCACAAATATATTAGCTACTTAAAGGACATCACAACACTAATTTTTTATTTAAGTTTAATATGAAGGTAGTCAAAATAATCAGTCGTTTAGAAAAAATCCAGAGTTAAAAAAATATTGATTATGATATTAACATTACTAATAATTCACAGTAAATAATTAGTTCATATTGTTTGTTTTTTAAGTGCACATAGGTATTATTAATTGCTTTCCTTAGTGCATAACTGAATCCATATTTAATACATCCTTTGAGCATTCAATTCCGAGGCCTTGTTAAAATCTAAATATATGTTTATGTAACTTAATTTGGTTCGAAACCTCTTGTAATCGAAACTTCTGGACTTCTATCGATCAAAGTTAAGAATATCAATATAATATGTATTTGATAAGACTTGTGAAAGTATTTTTTGTTTTTTTTTTTTTTTTATTTCGGAATACCTCCCCAATTTATAGTGTGGCTCACACAATAATATCAATGTCGTACTTGAAAAACGATGTAATACTTTTTGTTTCTCTCGGAATTTCTGTTCAGGCCACAACGTTTTTAATTTTGACTTGGATGTCTGAGTTCAGAATAAGTCTTCCCTTTTAAAAAATTTCTTTCTGAATTAAACCTCTTTACTCTCGTGAAGTTAATGCATTTAAACCGAAACACTCCAAGCTCAGGTAAATTGCTCATCTCGATTGGATTTGTGCACAAATCGATTCACAACGACAAGGCGACTTGCCTGTGTTCGGTAAACGGAAAAAAAGTCCACTGTAACAAAGTCACAAGGAAAAAAAGTCTCATAAATAAAACGATATTTCCACTTTTCTTGTTATTTTATTTATAAAATAAATTGGGTTAACAAATCTTACAAAAAAACGAAAGCTGGTAAAAAAATTGAAGTTCGATTAAACATTTTATGTCAACGTTATGATGAAGACAAATCTGCAGATATTTCTAATTTTTAGAGCAAATAGGTCAAAATATAAGAAAGATCTTTTGAATCGAGGCATAAAAATCCGAAGTAAAAAAGTCCGAGGCATAAGAAGTCAGCAGTAGATAAGTCCTAAGCCTAAAAATTCCGGTATATTATGTTATAAACATAACAATATTTAAAATAATTTATTAAAAAAAAAATTCAATGATTATAATTGTGTACTTGGTATCATAACCTATATAAAAAAATCGAAATAATTATTACATACAAATAAAATATACATAATATAATATAATGATTTCTTAATTAAATTCAGTATTAACTATCTTCATATAAAAAATAATATATTTAAAAAAAAAATCAATGATTATAATAATTATGTACCTACTTGGTATCATTAACTATATAAAAAAAATCAAGATAATAAAATAATTTGAGTATTAACTATCGCCATATAAAATATAATAAATTTAACAAAAAAATTCAATAATTATAATAATTTCTACTTTTCTAGTATTTTGAATTATCAGTTTAATTAACTAACTTTAGTCAAAAATTTAATATTAAAAAAAAATGTATTTTGTTAGGTAGGTATATAATTTAGTTACAATAAAATGTATATTAAATATGAATAGGTACTAATATTAGAAGTTTGATTGTGCATCACATGGTATTTTTCCTTTCGGCTTTCACCTAATTATACATATGTAACGGACTTTTTATGTTTCAGACTTTTTCACCGTTGACTTTTTATACCTCGGACATTTTAACCACGGACTTTTTTACTCGGAATTTTTGGTAGTATATCAGATCATTTATATCTAAATAAAATAATAAATACATTTTTATATATTTTTTAAATACTATTATTTTAAGATATATTATTTTTAATTTTGAATTAATTTAGGATGGGTAAACCATATATCTGAATAAATGCGTTTTTATATTTTCTTAATAGCCAATAGGTACTATTATTATAAGATATTTGTTTTATTATTTTTTCACTCTCATATCGAAGCAATGTGCTGTAAATCTCTAAAGACACTTGGTTTTGTGCTACGATTATCTAAAGAGTTTAAATTGTCTGCTTCACTCAAGTCTATTTACTGTTCCCTTGTTAGATCCCTTCTTGAGTACGCCTCAGTACTATGGGACCCCTGCACGGCAGTGGATTCATCTCTTATAGAACGTGTCCAGAGAAGATTTTTAAGCTCATCAGCGTTTATTCTGAAAATTAACCATCCACCTCACGACTACCAACCAGTCATGCAAAAACTAGGTCTTGTCTCTTTAGCCGACAGAAGAGTTGAGGCTAACTTACTCTTTTTACACAAACTAATTGATGGATCTATTGATGCTCCTTCCCTACTCGCACAAGTTGGTTTTAAAGTTCCTTCCCGTCAAACTAGGTCATCCGCTCCCTTCGCTATTACTCCACACACGACCAATTACGGCAGAAACCAACCAATTGACAGGATGATGCGCCTTGGCAATGAGCACCCTCACTTGTTTATTAGATATCAGTAGGTGTTGTATTATTACTATCATGTACCTAAAAAAAAAAAAAAAAAAAAAATGTAAATGTATTTGTCACTGTATATTATATCTTGTGTTTGTATTATTACTATTGTATCCATAAAATGTCTATTTGTAAAGTTGGTTGGGTAACTGTAACACCCACTTAGGTTAAATTTATATATTTCTGTGCATTATATTGGGCTCACTGCCCGTAATAAATAAATAATAATAATAATTATTTTTTAGAATTAATTTACGAGGGGACTTTTTTTCCTAATATCCCCGTGATCTGAGGTAGGTACACTCAATACAAAATACACCACGGAGCACCGTATTGTGCAATTGTTCATTTTTTTCCGTTCAAAGTCGAGTATAGTACAGGCGTACAGCTAGTGTAATATAACAAAAAACCCATTTTTTAAACCTTTTAAGTGTATCTAAACAATAGTTGCCACGAATAATGACTATTATATAAAAAAAATATGGCTAAAAAACATATATACGTCGGCAACGGTTGTCAACGTACTTTAAAAATATTGAAAACACATAATAAACATTATTATGTCTAATTATTAAACATTATTTTCCGGCCATCCTATCTGTTCGTTTTGCCTTGAGTCTTATTTTTGAGTTGAGATGTATTCGGTTACAATAATATTATTTCTATGTTTCTGCATCTTTCCGAAATCATTGGGTGGGCTCGTGGTTTTGAGTCACGTCCCCCCGGATCCACGGAAGAAGTCCAACCCTGAATCGCAACATTTGAGAGGAATGGAGTATACGGCCGCCGATTCGAAATTTCGATCGTCATCGCCATCACCGATCTGCGACTGTTTGCATGTGTCCGAACACTCTTATCCGTACATCGTCGGTTCGCAGGTAACAGGGCGCTGTCCACCGTACCACGACGATCCGCAGGAAAACGGATACCGTCCGCCACACATCAGCTGTCCAAAGGAAACCGGTAACCGTCCATCGCCGTCAACCAACTGTCCAACGCATGAATGTCCACCTCGACGCACAATGCCGCCCTGCAGCCGGACATCACCACCATGCACGACTTGCCGGACTACGCTGCCACCGTGCAAGAAATTCCGGACTTTACCACCATGTACCTGCAAGTGTCAGACCTTGCCACCTTGCACCAAGTGCCAGACGCTGCCGCCTTGCACCGAGTGTCAGCCGCTATCACCTTGTACCACATGTCGAACGCTCACCTCGTGTACCACAATACGACCTCTTAAGTTGAAAATCCTCAGAAGCTTCACCACACGCCGCCGCCGCTGTAAAACAAAACCTTGAATTATTTACAGAATCGTTATTCTATATTTAATTGCATTACCTAAATATTTAGTGCAAATAGTAAGCAATTAAATTCATTGTGTTTTTTTCTGACGGCGGAGGCGTGTGATTAAGCCTCTGAGGAATGTCTACTTGGGCCAGGTCGTATTGTCTGACATGTGGTACACGCGAAGTCAGTTCGGCATGCGGTACAAGGTGGCAGCGTCTGACACTTGGTGCAAGGTGGCAGCGTCTGACACTTGGACTTGGTGCAAGGTGGGAAAATCTGACACTTGGCTCGTATTGTGTAGTTTCGTAATTTATTATGATGGTAAAAAAATTGTTATACATTTAAATATATTTATTTTCAATACACTACTTAGATAAACAAATACCTTGTTTTAATTAAATATATTATAATGTTCGGACTTTAATAGTTTAATAGTAAAATATGCTGATTTATAATTCCTTAACGAAAAATGTTAACAGACAAATATTTATAATATTATATAGGTACACAATATATTTGATTTTTACTATAATTTATCTGATTACCCCCACAGCCACAGATCAATGCTGGCGGTTTGTATTTTCAAATATATTAAAGAAAAAGACATCAAATATGATCAAATGATCAAAATAATGATAATTATAGTAAAAATTAGTAAAAACCTACGTGTTATTTCTCCAGAAATATCCTATCCTATTAATATTATAAAATATAAATCCGAAAGTCTGTGACTTTGTTACTCTTGAATGGATTTTAATGAAACTTTACAATAATATAGCTTATACATCAGAATAACACATAGGCTACAATTTACAAATCATCACCCTAGGTCCAACAAGGAGATGTGCTCAAACGGGGATTTAGAGATTTACGGTGGAAATTTTTGTTCATAAATGGTTGCCATAGGTTTTAAAACTATTATAAGCTATTATTGGTTGTCGTGAAATAAGTGTATTCATTCAATGCATTTAATTTTTTGTACGCTGTGTTATGTATCACAATTACGTAAATATTGAGCGTGTTTTACTTACATATAAGTTACGTAATCGCGATGCCGACGTATTCGTGGACGAGGAGGAAATATTGGCCGACAGACTCGGCATTCACAATTAGTCCAACCGTTTAGGAGGAGTTCAGTAACATAGGTACTTGGTATAACTTTGATACTTTAGAGTTAAATTATAAAGTTACGTACAAACATCACGGGGTCCGCGATCTACCGTAGGTACTGCTGCGAATCAGAATTTTTATTCCGGGCAACGGAAAAGTTAATTTTGAACACCAAATACTGAATATTAAATAACGAACTGAACAAAGTTTGAGTCATATAGAGTTGATAGTTGATACATTTAACGGGTAACGAAGTGCACGGGATCAGCTAGTAGGTATAAATGGTATAATATATAAATAATATCATAAAAGTTATATTTTACATATTTTACAAATGTTTACAGTGGTCTTATTATTCTTTAAATGAATAAATATATTTATAAACACTAAATGCATTGATTGATTGATTATTGTTTTATAGGATTTTGTAATCTTACACATCGGAAACGAATATCCGTTATTACAGAGACCCACTTGTAACCTACTGTACAGCAGATCGACACTCACTTGCCAACCTTTTTTTGTATTTAAAATATTTAATTCTATTTATAAAACGTAAAATGTCAGTATAATTACTAATTTATATATAAATAAAATATATACATTTTCAAATATTACAAAATAAAATAGGTAGGTATAATATTAACAATATAATTTTCATCAGTAAAATTTAAGATGTATAAAATATTATTGTATCATATATATTTAACTTTTTGTTTGGGATTCTTTAATACGTACATCGTATAAATATCCATCCTTAAAACGTCAATTTTCATTACTGTTATAGCAGTAATGCTTTTAGTACTGCTGTAGGGTTTTACGCTATAGGGCAGTGCAAAATTGTCCTCTGAGATGTCGGGGGACACAACAATCTATCCCCTCATAAGACATCATTGAAAATATCACTGCTATAGCAGTAATGACAATTTTTGGAGAGTTTGTATGATACTGCTATAGCAGAGTGTAATATCTAAAAATGCCCCCCGACATCAACTTTTATTAAATTCACTAATTCTTTTTTTTTCTAATAATGTACTTTTGTTTTTTGATTATTTGAATACATATAGCATAAATAGAAATAGAATATAATATAATATAATATATGGGGACGAGGTGGCCGAGCGGTCTAACGCGTCGACTGCGGCGCTGGCAGTCGCGGGTTCGCCTCTCGACCACTGGGCGGCATTTTTCTCCGGGCAAGTCACGGTGTCCTGAGTACAAGTGCCGCCATCCCCCAACCCGGGGCATGGCAGAAACCTACGGGTGCCCCAATAAAAATTCTGCCACCACAAACACACACGTGTACCAACCTACCCAATCTAAAAAACCTACAGTTCCCTACCAACACCCAATGGCCTATGTTGCCGCGGGTTATCCAATAAAAAAAAAAAAAAAAAAAAATATAATATATGTATTTTATTTATAAATATATAAATTAATATTATAGTTATAAATTTCAGTCGGACAAGGTCGGATAAACCGATTACAGAAAAATCAAGTGAACTAGTTTAATAACAAGTTACAATTTATTTTAGTCAGATAATAATAGACAATTTTTATTAAACTCAATGTGAAGTGTATATTTTGATATCATTAATTTGTATAGTTAAATTTAAAGTTTAAATTTTAGATTCTGAGTGAAACGATGAATGTATTGATTTTACAATGATGTGTGTTTTTTTATTTATTTATTTATTTTTTTTTTTATTTTTTTTGTAGCTGTGTACACGATAAGTAGTCGAAATAATGCTTCGATTTTCGACTTCAGTATCTTGTTCGATTGGAAAGTGAATATCGTTGGTGCATTGGGGAGGTCAAAATTTAAATTTCCCAGTAGTTTTCACAAGCGCCGGGAAAAACAACATAAAAATTAAGGAAAAACGGGAATTTTTACGCAAAATTGATTTTCCAAAAAATCGATTTTGGTTATTGGTTTAACTCTAAAACAAATGAACGTATATACATGAAATTTTCACTGGTTGTTTATATTTGCATTTTCTATACACGATAACATTTTCAAAATATTTTGATTTATTTTGAACTGTTTAGGGACATTTTCATTTTCCATTTTTTTTTAGTTTTTTTTCTAAAAATTTCAATAAAATTTTATTTGTTGGTTGCGAAAGCTTGAAAATTTAATAGAATGCTCCTAATATGTTGTTTCAAAGGCAGATGAAAAATATTAAAAATCCTTAGTCACAATTTTTTTTTATAAGCATTTAAAGTTCAAAAATTGACAAAATATGGAAAAATCACGAAAATTAGCAAATTATTTTGAGTTAAGAATTCGTAAAAATTTTTCTTTTTAAATCTAAGATTTGAAAATCTAATACAAGATTACTCATAAGATTGTCTAACTTTATCAATAAAAAAATTTCTACCGGAAAGTCAAATTAAATTTTTATGAGCGTTTGAAATTCAAATTTTTACAACATTGGATATTCACTCGATTTCTCATGTGGCAATTTTCTTTTTTTGTTGTAATTAAAAAACGAATTACTGTAGATACATGAAAATTTCACTGAATGTTTATATTAGCATTTCCTATACACCCTACAATTTTGAAAATATTTTGACACTTTTTGAGCCGTTTACGGACATTTTCAGTTTTCAATTTTTTTAGTTTTTTTTTTCTATAAATATCAATTAAGTTTTATCTGTTGGGCCAAAAAGTGTAAAAATTTAATACAAGGCTCCTGATATATTGTTACAATATCAGTTGAAAAATATTAAAAATACATAGGCACAATTTTTTTTTATAAGCATTTTAACATCGAATTTTGATAGAATTTTTCAAAATCTCGAAAATTATTAATCATCGTAATTAATAAATTATAAAATGTTCAGTTTTTATAGCTAAGGATTGAAAATTTAAAACAAGATTCCACGTAAGTAGTTAATTCTCTTACCGAAAAATCTAAAAAATATACAATCACAGTTTACTTTTATAGTCATTTTATGTTCAAATTTGGACGAAATTACATATTAAAAAACCTAGTTATTTTGTTGTGATTATATAATATTATTCGTGGGTACCTACTTGAAACTTCTAAAGTGTACTATTATATATATATGATAGTATCAGGGTTTGTTGTTGGTGTATAACGTGTTATAAGTACCTAATGGATATTGTGATATGATTAATTTGGAATTTATTTTAGGTCAATTTTTTTTTTAATACCATAGATATGTATATAATTTGTCTTAAACCTAGACTAACATACCGTCTTCGCTCAGAATCGTTTTTCTTATACAATGATATTGTATCATTGAATTCAAATTTAAAAGCATCCATTATACAGTGACCCACTTGTAACCTACTGTACAGCAGAGCGACATCCACTTACCCACCTTTTTATTATTAACCATTACAATAATAATAAATTATTTTTTATATGTTTAAGTATATAATTTATACCTCATTATACTTGTTTGTATTTTAAAATAATTTAACTCATTAAGAATTTAATGACTGCAGATATTTAAACATTTAGCACATTCTTCAATAAGAATAAAAGGTAATAGAAACATAACTTATAGCATGGCTTTAATTATTAATTTATTCATTATATTTGCATCAAAAAAAATTGGGCAAGTCTATGTATCAACTACTTGAAGACGTATTTCAACCATAAGTACCTAAAACAAAAATTAATAATTCACATTTTTGTAAAATGTCAGGGATATTTAATTTGTCGTGGACCGATGTCGAGACCGGTAGTGTCGCGCTAGAATCTGCAGGGAAAACGTTACCTTTACGTTAAACGAAATATGAATCACACGGTATATTATCAAAAATCAAAATTAATTTTAATTTTAAGTGACTAAAATTAAAATATACGATAAACCGAAAAAAAAAAATTAATTATTTGAATATTGGTATTTTTTTTTACAATTTAGT